TTGCAAGCATCTGAGCCGGTAGGAATTTTTGACACCCTACCCGAAAATTCCCTTGTCAATCAGATGCGTGTGGAAGGTTTCCATTACGCCGCAATGACAAGATGACGTACATACGGGACCCATAGTACTTAGAGCACTGGGAGGAAGAATATCTTAGGCGGAGATATCCATAATTTCCCTCCCTAACTGAAAACCGACTGTGCGCAAGGGACTTTTATCGTGTCGTAACCAGCGATCTGAGGTGTCTCGACTACCTGACTACTTATAACACGCAATATTTCATATCCCCCGACTTCGTTGTTATCGCCACAAATTTCCGTCCCTTCCATGTTCTCCTCCCCTACCACCAACTCATAGTGGTGCCGTGGAATTCCATAGCCCCGTATTGGCCCCATACGCCGTGTAGAAATTGCAGACGACGCGGCAACCGCCGATCCTCCGGAACTACGGAGCCTAGCAACAACGTGCGACGACAATCGACACGTGTCCACACCCGGAGGTCTGACCCATAGAACTTGCAACTCACACAACGGACCCCATACGGACCACCGTCACTAGAACGGGGGGATCAAACGGCCTAAGATGCACCGCGCATGCCATCTGTTGTATGCTTCACAACATCAACCGCCCCTCTGCCTCATTGCACCTATGCCTCTGAAACTTTTCCACCGGAGATCTCAATTCTGACCTGGGACTCCACCCCCACTTTCCCAAAAATCCTTGGCACACCCCTTTTTCGCACTTCCAGGCCCACATCCCACTCCGATCAGGAATTCACGCCGAGCACGAGGTTGATATCGGAGTCGACACGTGGCAGGGTTACAGGGTCAAGAGGACGATCTGGCTAACAAGGGACGACCCTGAGCCCAGAACGCACATAGACGCGACCCCGTCGTTACCAGAAGTCGATCTGCGACTCGAAGGGCGACTAACACGAACGCTAACCAACAGAACCCGAACCCACAACAAAACCCCAATCAGAACCCCAATCAACCGCTAAATCCTAATCAGCCTGCACCACGAGCGTGGACTCCCATGACGCCACCCGATCTGTATCTGTTTGACCCTGCACATCACCTTGTTGGAGCATGGCTGGCCACATTCCGAGCTCAGCAGTATGACGACAACGAGGTGCAGGTAAACATTCCCGCTCGATTGGGGGGGGGCGCCCATTATTGGTTCAACACCTATGTATGGGTTGATCTCCCGACATTCGAGCGAGACCTTCTAAACCGATTTGATTATATCCATCCGGAACAGGCTCTTTTTATGATTAAAGATCGAGTTTAAAAACCCCTTGAGTCTGTCACCGAGTACCGAAATCGGTTCTACCGTATGTTTGTAAAAACTCAACGAGGCGAACAGGTAGGAAGGGATTTGTTTATCGATGGACTTCGCAGCAGAGCGATGAGGGCGAAACTGCGAAAACATTTCTCCCCCATCAATCATACACTGCAACAGATCATGGCGGCCGCAGAAGAGATGGAACGGAAGTTCGCCTCAAGTTTCCTAGAAGGGGAAGACTATCCTAGGGAAGGAGACTCGTCCGAACTAGCACGGGCCAAAGCTGAGCTGGCCGCGTTACAAAATAAGTTCGAAAACATGGGGTTTGTGTCCGGCTTTGTCACCTATCTGGAACAGATTACTCCCAAACGACCAGCCCCAAGTGTGATTACGGGTATGCCCATTCCCGTGATGACGCCACCCCCACCTTCAATCGAAAGTCCCGCACGACCGAATGAATCAACCGCCTTATTAGAACAAACCAAGACACTGGTCCATCTGATTCAGGAAAGCAAGAGGGAACAGCGGGAACACAATGCTCGAATAAAGGCGATGATGAGGTCGATGCGACCAATTGAAGTACGAGCAGCCCCGATGCCACAAGGGCTGGCCCCAGCACCCGCTCTTGGAGGAGCCGCCGACAATCTGAACGTCTGTTACACGTGTCACCAACCCGGGCATATAGCCCGAGACTGCCCCCATCGATCCCCACAACCACGGATCGGGGTTGCGCCTGTAGCAGAAGCGCCGATCGCTAACGGACCTGGATGAGTAGGAGCATTAATGGAAGAAATGGGAGGGGGTGGAAGTGCGTTAGCTACCATGGAAGAGGTCGTTGAGCTTATTCCGTTGGATCAGTATGTAACGGTTGGTTATCCGAGGATTGGGATGATTGGAATGATTAGACCCGAGCCAAAACAGAGGGAAGTGGCCGAGTGGCGACCTTCTCCAGGGGAGATGGAGTCGGGAGGACCCACTTTCGTCACCGGAGAAATCGATGTTCTAAACATCGTGCAAGCCTTAAATCATCGGATTCCTCTTCTGATCGGTCATCTACTTTCGATATCAGAAGAAGCCAACGAACGCATGTTGCAACGCCGCAAAACGAATCGAAAACGGTTCGCCCTCGCCCGGACAGCAAACACGAAAGCAAAATGTCCAACACAAGACGAAAACGTTGTTAGTACTTCAGACCCAATACGGTTGGGATTAATCCAGAAGGAGGATCACTTCCTACGGATTAAACCAATCTCGTGGAAATCCGCAGAATGGGGTATCGAGGTATGGGGAATCCCGTAAAATGTTATTATCGATTCTGGAGCCGCTGTTTTAACTATCTCATTACGGGTAGTTGAAAGGGCAGGAAGAAAGAACGATCTAATTATGCTTGCGGAAAAAGATCTACTCGTTTCAGCAGATGAAGAGAAGATTAAAACAGTAGGACGGATGACCAATGTCGCTTTTCGATTGGGGAAGTTGCATGCTCTGGGAGATAGGAGGAACGCCCTATGTTGTACCTATGAGGCTGACCCTTCGTACCATCGCTAACGTGACCCCGAGAGTTTCTCCAATGATGGCGGGAACTCTTCGCGTGATCACCTGGGACAACTCCGCAGACGGTGAGCAATCATCGAAGGATGCGGACAGCAGTGACGAGGACGATCCAATGATTCTGGAACTGGCGCGACAGCGTATCTCTTACCCTCTGCAAGGAGCGAACACGAGACCATTGAACTCGACTAATCGAAATCTACAAAGAATAAAAGCGATGATTCTGGGCGAACCTCTCATACAGATATCGAGGATGACCAATTTTTTGGAGCCCCCTCGAACCCTGAACGAAGGTATCTCCCCTCTCCTTGCACGATATAACGACAAAAGACACTTCTGCGACATCACAAATCTCCCACAATGTATTTTGCCACCTGCGAAAGAGATACGATTGTTACGCTTAGGGGCAGAGGCTCATTCCTTGGAACCCCCTTAGCGCCTTGAAACTGGACTCGGAATCAAAATTGCAATGAAACCCGTGCCATGGCAGAATATTCACGACGGAGTAACGCCGGAGGAACACCTGGCCATTCGGAAACAGGATGTGCAAATGATGGCTACAGTATTTTCCTGGCAATTGGACAATTCTTTCATTTCCACAGCCCCGCCCGAACCCACCAAACGGGTAAGTACGAAACAGATCGACGTACGAATATGGGACCAGTCGTACGAGCTACGCGTGCCCCATTTCGTACCCGATGAAATTCATCACCATATCGCGAACATTCTGAAGGAATATCAGGGTGCAATTAGCGTGACGGACATAGACATTGGACTGTTGCTAGTTATACAGCACGAGATACTCCCTGGTAGAACGAAAACCATCCCCCGATCCACTCTAAGCCCTACAGAAACTCCCTGGTAGAACGGAAGACGACTCTTCAGCGGATCCGGGAGTTCGAAGCCAATGGATGGATTGAACCTGCTTCTGGGCCATGGTCATTTCCGGTAGTGTTAGTGCCGAAGAAAAATGGGTCGATTCGCATTTGTATCGATTAATTAATATCGCAAGTTAAGTGATATCAAGATCAAAAATGTGTATCCCCTCCCTCGGATTGATGATTTGTTGGATGCGATTGGGTGTGCTAATTATTTCAGTAAATTTGATATCCGCCATGGCTTTCATCATATTCAGGTTGAGGAGGAGGATCGACCGAAAACGGCCTTCGTGTTATTTGAGGGCACGTGGCAGTGGGTTCGGTGTGCGATGCGGATTTGCAACGCACATGCCACGTTTCAGGGGGCTATGAATGTGACGTTCCAGAAATTCGTCAACAAGACGCGGCTAACTCAAGGGATGATTAACTTTTGTGTCATCATGTACAAGAACGACATCCTGGTTTACTCGGAGACCTATCACGGACATGCACAACACATCGAGTGGATGCTGGGAGCTCTGAGAGATGCTGGGTTCAAAATCGTGCTCGAGAAGAGCGAATTTTTCCTCTCGGAAATCTCGTTCTTGGGCTACGTGGTGACACGCGGAGGACTGCGGCCAGATTTGAGAAAGGTCGCGGCGGTGAAAGACACCCCTGTTCCCACGTCACTCACGCAGGTTCGAGCTTTCTTGGGACTAGCGTCGTACTTTTGTCGTTTCATCAAGGGCTTCGCCGCAATTGCACGACCTCTAACGAACTTGCTATGGAAGGACCTGCCCCTCAGTTGGGACGCAGAGTGCGAACAAGCCTTCACCACCCTCAAGGACGCCCTGGCTACGACGCCTATTTTGATCCGGTCGGAGCCTACGAAGCAGTTCATTCTTATCACGGACTGGCAGCTGGAGGCGATTTTTGCTATTCTAGCGCAGAAGGGGAATGTCGGTCGTGAACACGTCATCGAGTATGCGTCTCGCATAGTGCCCGACGAACGGAGAAACGATTCGGCCCCGCAAGGCGAGTGTTACGTCGTGGTCAGGGGAATTCAACACTTCCATCCGTATCTTTACAGACGAAAGGTTCTCGTGGTGACTGATCACGAGCCGCTGCTAGCGCTGAAGAGGCTAATTAATTACACGGGTATGATTGGGCGATGGGCGGTGCGCCTGTAGGAGTACGACTTCGATATCATCCATCGGAAAACGGAGAGGCACGGAAACGCGGACAGACTGACACATCTTCATCGACAAGCTAAGGTACCTAAAGGTGGAGAAATCATCCCTTGGAAGGAACCAGAATCAACGAACAGGCCCAAGTATGGATAAGTGGCGGTTATCCCACGTGCCAAGAGGCATGCACGTGGCAATGGGTGACCGAGGTAACTTTGCAACTCCTCTCTCTTCCCTCTCGTCTTCATCCCTTCTCTCTCTTCCCGACAAATTTTGCTATTTTTGCGAAGCGATTTCACGCATTTACTCTGTCCTTATGCATCCTAGTGGGGAGGGTTATGTCGGATGGGTGGATTGTCGACAGTGTGTCCGCGAGCCCATGACTCTTGCATTCAGTATAGAAATGGCGATAAGCCTTGGCTGTGCCCCTTGTGTCAGGTCGATAAGATCCCGACCGAGGCCCGATTTCTCGACGCCACGTCAGAAGGGTTAGAAAAGACCCAAAAATTTAGAAGGGCCGAGGTATGGACGGATATCGCCTTAATCGCCACCTTGGTAGGTAACCCCCTCCAGAAATTCACTAAGGACGACCGGAGGAGGGCCAACAAAATGGCTCGGGACTATCGCTGGAACGAGGGTCGGTTAGAGAAACGGAAGACTGATGGTAGTGGGATTTGGATGGTAGTGTCGCACCCGTTCATGAGGTATGACTGGGTTAAGACGGCGCATGAGAAAACTGCAGCCCATTTTACCGTACGGATCACGGAAGCGGCAATGGACAAAAACGAGTGGTATTGGTCCAACATTCGTGACGATGTGAAGTTCATCGTCCAGAACTGTCAGGTCTGCGCCGCTAACAAGGCACCGATTCAGCCGCCAAGATCGATAGTGCAGACGGTAGTCGAACGACCTTTTCAGAGGGTTAGTATGGATACTACCGATATTGTGGTGCCCCCTGGACCCAATAGCTGTGAATACTCAATCCTACTGGTGTTCGTAGACCATTTCTCGAAATGGATTGAGGCATATCCTTGTCGAACGCGACAGGCGGCCGAAATCGCGCGATATGTCAACCGGTTTTTAGGAATGCATCAGGACACAGAGGAAATCCTGACCGATAATGGGGTAGAATTCAGAGGGGAAGTTTTGAGGAACATGATCATACACTGCGTTGCTATTCGGAATACTGCACCCCACATGTCACAGTCTAACGGGCTGGTAGAGAACGCCAATAGGGTGATCAAAACTACACTACGACGAAATATCGCGGCACGGGATCCGAGACCCTGGCCCAATATCGTGGATCACATCCTGGCAGTCCACCGAGGAACGCCCCACGAATCGACGGGCCTGAGCACGGACCAATAGTGTGGCTTGTGTCTCAATACCGAGCCTCCCCGATGAATCCTCCGAGTCATTGAACCGACGACCCACAAGGGCCACGGCTCGAGACAAGGCCAAGCGTAACCTGGAGCTAATGGAGCGGTCCCTTCCCCGATTAACCTGAAAGCGCCAAAAAATGACTGAGTTGGCCCACGACCGACAGGTTCGTAGCTACAAGGCCCGAAATGGGAATGCAGGACCACGACCCCAGTATAAGTGAGGGGACATCGTGCAGGTAAGGAAATGTGTTCGCCAGGGTAAGCTAGCGCCACGATTCTTCGGGCGATTTCTCATAGTCGAGCTCAGATGGAACGACGTGAACATCGTGCGGCTCGTGCCTGAGGTCTCCGGCAGCCGATCGGCTCGACCGATCACTCGCCACGTGTCCTATCTACGACCTCTCCCATCCTCTCCATCTCCGCCTTCGCCTGCCTCCTCGTACAACACCGAGGAAGACGATGACGATCTAGCCTCCTCCTCCCTTTCCATCTCTCCCTCTGACACTCCGTCTCCGCCTCCATCGCCATAAGCTTTTCGACGGAGCAGGTGATTAGCGCGCAGCTGCTAACCCCGAGAGGGCGGATCAGTGCCATCCGGCAAGTACAACGGCCACACCTCAGTTCCGATCTTCTTCGGTTCACGGCCTTCTTCAGCACGACGGCGATCCACGCGGCAGCAAAATTCCGGTTTACACAAGCAGCAGCGACACGTGTCCTGGCCGAGATTTCGGCCTTTCAACGCTTGTCCCCTCCTGGGATCAGTCGTCGTTTTCATCGGGGATATTACAGCAGTGCCATCGGCGACCCATCCTGACATCTTCTGGACCCTGTGCGCTTGGGGTGAAGAGATTCAGACTGCGTGGACAACGCTCCTCGCTCGGCGCGGGGATACGGGCGTGCTTTCGCACGACATCGATCTGCAGCTTCGCTCTTCCAGCGACTCGCCACCGATCGTGTTGCCGAAGCTTCGTCCCTTCGTGCCGCCCCGATGAGTGGCCGCCACCTTTCTCTCTTTGGCCTCCCTTCTAACATCCCCACCCTCTAGCAATCCGCTCACACCCCCTCTCTCTCTTATCGTATCAAGCAGATCAGTGTACCGATACTGGAAAAGGAAAAGTGGAAAGACTGGTGGGAGGCGTACGCAGAGCTCGCTTTTTGCCTGCTGGAGGTAGGGTTCAGCTGGTCTGAGCCAGCACCATACAGAGAGGGACCTGAACTTCCAGACGGTGAGGTGGAACTACTGGTAGTGCAAGTGTGGAGAACGACGATGGAGGGAGATCTGTTGGGAATATTGTTTGGGAAGGTGGACGACGGGAATCTTCCCCTGATTACGAGCGAGTTGCTGGTGTTTCTGACACAGCTAGTGGACGACCTGCCTTTAGACATCTTATCGCGGTGTGACAATCAGCCTGGCATCCACGTGCTTTCCAGAACGCTCAAGTCGCGCCTGCTGTGGTCCACGTGTACTGAGCTGGACGGCGACAACTGTGTCTATCCATCTTAGGCTTTTTTCCTTGAGATCGACGTCACCAATCTCACGGTGTGGGACCCCATCATCCGGCGAGGAAACGCGAGGCAAGGAGAAAAGGAGGATGACAAAGACGATGAAGAGGAAGAATCGAGCGAAGATCGTGACGATCCCGATTACGTTCAAGGAGAAGAGGAGGAAGACGAAGAAGGTGAGCCAGCAGAGGAGGAAGGTGTAGCGGGTGAGCCGAGTCAGTGGCCCGGACGAAGTAAGGAAGAGGAGGAGGCAGAAGCACAAAAGCGGTTGGAAAAGGCGGAGGGAAAGCGGCCGGTTACGGAAGGAACCCCTCCTGATTGGTTGTTGGGAGATCCGTGGCTCGATCCAGAGCCCCCAAAGGAAGAAGAAGGAGGCCATGGAGCCTCGGCGGAGGGATCAGGAAGACGTCGCCGAAGGAGGAGCGAATCGCCGACTTCGTCTGGGTCTCCTGCCCGACCTGCCATTCGCCTACGTCAAAATGAGGGCGATCGGGCTTCGTCCCCGGTCGTTCTCTCGCCGTCCCCTTGACTTCCTGATGCTCACCCGACTCCTTGGTAGACCCCAGTTCCCCGCGGGATGATGCCCCTTCCCTCCCGACCTCTTCTATCACCTCTACGCCACCCGCCTCCTAGTCACCGTCTTCCTACACGCTACCACTCGTTCCGTAGTAGATTTTTTCCTTCTCAATGTTCTCTTGTTTAGTGTGGACTGGCAGGAATATAACCACATAGAAATATATTGTATTATATCCGGAACGATCCCCGCCTATGAAAATTATGAGAATTTCGAAACCGCTCTTCGCCGCACCCTCTCCACTCTCTACCCCGACTATATTGCTTCCCTCCCCCACCATCGCGAGGGACCTCGTTTCCCCTGTATCCATCGCTCCATGCATTACACCTCCCTTCCCGCCTTCGAGTCTCCGGCCATCAATCAATTCATGCCTCCTCTCCCCCAGAATCCTCCATCCCCTGTAGGATGGAATGCTTCTCGCCCCCGTTCCCGACGCACCAACCCCCTTGCCATACACCCATGTAGCACCTCCCCTTCCTCATGGTCATTGATATGCAGGTGTGCGGAACGTGTCACGGCGATGGCACGAACTATCCCCTCCTTCGATTGAGGAGAGCCCTTCCTGAGGAATTTGTAGGATAGAGCCACATATGCCACACTGGATGACTTCCACACTCTTATCACACGGTAAATGGCAACGGAGAAAGCTCCACGTGTCGATCGATTAAGCCGACACGTGTTGGGATGACGAGCAAGCAGGAGCTTGCTCAAGATAATGACAAGATTGAAACCCCCTGGGCGTCACAAATGTGATGAACCACTTTCTGTTCCGCGCAATTTTCTGCACGATGACAAGGAGGGGTCTTAAGATGGGAAGGTTGGGCCAATTACGGGAGATCGGGATCGACGGGAAAATTGCATCGGTGTCCTCGCTTCTTCGTCTTTTTGCATTGCTTCTTTTCGGATGGCTGGGTTCAGGGCTGGGCAAGTCCCGGGACGATCGGTTGAGTGGCTGGCACGCCGATAGAGGCGCAAATAATACTTTGTGACGTCGCTTCTTTCTTGTTTTGTTGTCGTTTTTTTTTTTGTGTGCGGTGATCACGCGGGAAGATTTGCTTCTTTTTGAATTGTTTTTCTCGAATCTTGTCGAACCCTTGATGGCTTTCGAAATTTCGGACTTTCTTTCGGGATTTGTATTTTATTAAAGCTCTTTTTGCATTTTTTACGTTAGATAGGAATTTAGGAATTCAGAATTTCTTTTCCCGCACGATGTTCTTGCCCCCATGGTTCTTTTTGCGGCTATAACGGAGCTCTGATTAGTAAGCGCCCTTAATCTTACGTGTAACTGTAATTTTGGGCAGGGCGCCTTTGTAACTGTATCTCTCTTCTTGAGCTTCGTCATTCCCGCCCTCTCTCTCTTCCTTGCTGTGTCTAGTTGGCCCGCGGGCTGCAT